GTGTATATATGTGTGTGTGTACATATATATGATTTAACCAGGTAGATCTCCCTTAAATTTATATTTTTATGGGAGACTTTAAAGTGTCCCTTAAAAAAGGAGATTTTAAGGTCTAAATTTTTTTTACCTATACATATTTATTCCACTCAATTAATGTGTGATTTATTTATTTTCTAAGTTTTATATCGTGATATATATTGTTACCGCCACTCATCACAATGTATATCGTGATATGAATTTTTTGCCATATCGCACATTCCTACCTGTCACATTATAATGTTTTAGACAACTTGTGAAAATTCTGTTATGATTAATTTAATATAGACATATATTTGAACTGACTGTCAGCTTTGCAGTAAGCTTATTTATTTAATAACCAGGCAAACCCCAATGAGATACATCTCTTTTCCAAAAGAGGATGCAGTAGATTTTCTTTTATTCCATCTTCAGTAAATACATTTTTACTGTTGGACAAAATTTTTAGAAGTTGTCATAAAAGTGGCAGGGTCTTAAAACAAATCTGCAATCAAACATATTTGTACTTAATCAATTATAAAGCAGGAAAATAAAGATGCAGCAGCAGCTGCTACAGCCAGCTCACTGTAGCTCACAGTTTAAGTGAGAATGCTCCTGTGTGTATTATTTTCAGGTGTACAAGTACAAGTAGATGCAAAACTCAAATCAGTGTTGTGCATCCGCTCACACTTAATTCTAAAAATCAGCATCAGCAACAGAAAAACTTGTGCCGATTGACGTCTAGCTGGAGCGCTCAAACTTGTGCTTCAGATTTTACTGTCATTTACCTCATAGATGTTGGGATGCCACATTTTGGTGAGGAAGCGGAAAGCAGGTGGTGAGTAGGGGTAGTCAACAGGAAACTTGATCCGAGCCTGAGGGAGAAAGAAGACGTATTAATAAACGTGGCAGCAGAATTACCCCATCGCAGATGCCAACAGACCGGTCCAAACCAATTCCCGCCAAACCGTTCCTGCTCGGAAAACATTGTCCAACGAATAAGCAAACGGATTCCTTGTGCAACCCCTTGGGCAGCTGCATGTAAATAAAACCAATAGTTGGCATCAATTTTCCATACAGTTGGCATAATTCAAAGATGGCTCTGACTGTCACATATAAATAGCAGCTAAAGAGTGGCTGCAAACCTTCGAAGCTGGTGGAGGTAATCACAGCCTGGTGTAACATGATGTGGAGGCTGGGAGGGATGGAAGCTCACAGAACGTGTGGAGCTCAGGGAATCAGCGGCTGCGGGAGGAGGAGGAGGACTGGTGGTATAAAGACGTTTTGGTACGTCCTCTCCAGCTGTCGCCGCAGTCCAAAACAATCTACTACTCACATCCACGTACTGCTATTCTATGTTCCCAGTGCATGTTCTGTGTGAATCCAGTGTGTGGAGGACCCTCCTCCCTTTTTCCACCAGGCGTTAGGGCAGACGGGGACAGAATGGGAGCGCGCACACCGACAGCACCGATTACACACATACACGTCGCTCACAGTCAGAAACCTTCTGCTGAACCCCCCCACACACACACACACACACACACTGATTTGGCATGGTCAGCTGGCCCTTGCTGAAGAGATTTGTGGACTGAGGGAGCTGAGATTCTCAGGGAAACTATAAAAGGGCTGGGCTCTCCACCATATTCTAAGCTTTTCAGCCTTATTTGACTGCATTGCATAATTCAAAACAAAATGTTTGCAAGAAACTCCAAACGTGAGTTCTAGTCCAAAAAAAAATGCCTATCACGAAGCTGTGTCAGTGTGTCCTGACCTCTGTGGTGTACAGGATACTGTCAGTATTTGTCGGGACACGGATTATATAAAAGGGATCAACAGCCAACTAATCTGATCTCACCCGATGAAACTAAACTGGAGACGAAACACTGAGGCAACCCTGGAAAAAAAAAAGAGGGAAAACAACCTAAATCCCGAGTTGGACAGGTTCTGCCAGATAAAGTGCAGGGTTGTACACATTACAGCCTACCAGCAGTGCAGCACGTAGCAACAAGCCACTGGTGGGGGTGGGGGGTGAGAGAGAGGCAACGACTGTTCAGTTTATTTTCCTTTCAAAACAGTTTGAATATTTTTGTACATGTTGGCATTTATTTTAAAAAAGACCCTCCAACTCTCCTTCCTTCTACGTTAAACTCACTGTGCTCAAAACTTGCTAACAAGAATGTTTTAAATAAAACAGGAGCCTGCACCAGTAGTCATTTGGTGTTACTTTCAACAAAATTTAATCCCAGACCAACATTAAAAATAAAGTAAAAGGTCATTCAGCTTGTGTGACGTTACAAATGGGTGAAAAGGATCAAGGCTGTCTTCAAAAAAAAGTCATTAATGTCTCTAGAATGAAAAAAAAAACCAATTTCAAAAGAAAATCAAAGCATTTTTGAACACTGGTCAACAACAGTTTTGTCAGCCAGTTTTATCTAAATCAGGGGTCTCCAACCAGTACCAGTAGCTCCTGAGCTCATTTAAAGTAGAAATATGAAGAAGCAAAATTTAATTTGTCACTGGCCAAACAAACTTTTATTTAATTCTAATCAATCTATAAATGACCCTTCCCCTTGGTTGTCAAACAGTTTAGGGTTCAGTGTGGTCGATCGACAGATGACGCGCAGTCACATGGTTGTTTGGCGTTCGTTCTCGCACACACCTTTCATCGCCCCTTGAGACAACACTGCTAAACTCCTGGGAAACCCCTCCCGCTGCAGTATACAGTATGTCACTCCAGGAGGGTTCTTCCCGCGGAATGCGGAAAAAAATCGGAGACTCATCACCTGGTATTATTTGTGCACAAATCTGTTGCAGTTAAACCCTAAGTTATTAGTGTGAAATACAATATAACATGAATGGATAAACACAAAAAGCACATTCATGTAAATTCAGTTCTTCATGGTGGTTTCATGTGAATTGAAGACAATGTTTTGTGGAAAAACAAGCTTATTCAAATGGTTTAAATGTAAAATTAAATGTTGCAAAAAGTAGCTCTTGGACAATTTCCTTTTGTGAAAGTAGCTCTTAAGGAAAAAGAAGGTTGGAGACCCCTGGTCTAAATCCATTCAGAACTTTCTTAGAAACACAACAAATCATCTTGATCAGACTAGTCTTAGTGTACATACAATTCTCAAAAAAAAAGACTCCTCATTCAGCCCTTTACCCAAACTATTTAAAACATATCTTACTACAAAATTGATCAGATAACTCATTTTTTGGCTTGTTGCTGGAAGGCCTGAACACACATCTTTCTAATAAAACAGCTTCATTCATCATAGTCATGTTGGGATGAATGAAGGCAAACAGTAAACCTGGAAGATCGTATTTGTGTCAAAAAAAGGGCAAGAACAGTAAAAAGCAAAGCAGTTAGCAGTTATCTTTTAGTAAATAGCTTATAGTCCCATACTTTCCTAACAGAGCACTTCACTCTCAGACTGCAGGTTTACTTGTGGTTCCTCGAGTTTCTAAAAGTAGAATGGGAGGCAGAGCTTTCAGTTATCAAGCTCCTCTCTTGTGGAACCAACTTCCAGTTTCTGTCCATGAAGCTGACACTCTGTCTACTTTTAAGATTAGACTGAAGACTTTCCTTTTTGATAAATCCTATAGTTAGACTTAGGTTTCCAGAGTTATTTCTTAGTTATCCTATAACGACGACAACAACAACAACAACAACAACAACAACAACAACAACAACAACGACAACGACAACGACAACAACAACGACAACAACAACAACAATAATACATTTGATTTATAAGGCACTTTACATTCAAGAATCCCAAAGTGCTACAAAAAGAGTTTCTGCTGTTACAGGCTTAGACTGCTCAAGGAAAAACTGACTACTTTTAATGTATGACTGTTTTGTACAGAGACCTGAGATGACGTTTGTGACCTGGCTCTTTATAAACTGAGGTAAATAATTTCACAAAGAGTTCAATTTTATGTTCTTACATATCCACAATTTAGTACTTGCTTGTTGGCCTGTTTATATAGAAGTCAGATGGACGTAGTAAAGAAGTTAAACAGATGTTTTGACTGGTTGCTCGAGCAGTACCGATAATAAATAATGTTATGATTAGACTTTTTAAGCTTCTGGCAAAAAGAGAAAACACAAAATTACCATCTTAATTATGTACTATAAAACTTATTGATTAAGCTAAACTGCAATTCATCTTTTTTTACTCATGAAAAAGACCATTTCGTCAATTGTTGAATCAAGTGAAAAAAGAAGCACTGATGGGTTATTTAGAAAAAGCTCAGTTTCACACAAAAAGACAAAAACAAGGTTTTGATCTGTTTCAAACATAATTATCTTTTTCAGTACTTTAATGTGTGTATTCAGACATCATCTTTATTTATTACAACACACAAACCATGCTGTATTTGTTTCATCAGCCCACTCTTGGCTCACAGAGTCACAGAGTCCACAATCAGATGGACTCTTACTCTGAACATCTTATTTGAGCAGCAGACAACAAGTCCAGCCAATTTCCTGCCAAGCATACAAAAACAAGGCTTATAAAAGACTTGTTGTCTTGTTACCAAGAATACAGACTACAGGCTCAGTTGCTTCACTCTATGAAAATCATTGCTGGACTGTGACCTAAAAAGACTGCCTTCAGGAGAGAACGGGAACGAGGGGGATCGAGCGCACCTCGTGGAAAAATGACAGCAAGGTGAAGTAAATCAGGTCAATGAGAAGACCCTGAAAACAACAAATCATTCTCTTCTCCTTCTGCACCACTTTGTGGTCTCTAAAGACCCCTACCACACACAGCCCCAACTTAAAATCATTGTTAATTAGCTAAACCCACTGCCAACACACACACACAGATTGTGTTAAAATCCAGCAGACTCCTGTTGAACCACATTATCGTGATTCTACAACTACAAAAACAAAACTAAGGATTAAAAACTGGAGTCATTTGTCAACATGATTCTCATGTGATCCGGGCACTCAGATCCGTGTTTAAGAAATATGATTACCACACTGGTAGCCCAAATAGGAAGGAAAAGGGAAACACAGGCAGGGCTTCAGGGGATGATTATAACTGGCTGTGGCTCCACAGTCACATCTGCTCACACCAGGTTCTCCTTTCAAACGAGGACAACAGCAAAGGAGGGCTCCGTCTGCTTTTCAGCCAGGTGCTTCAGTTCTCCCGCTTTCTTCCTCGGCCCTGCTCTTGTTTCTCAGTGACATGGCTAGAGACGGGGGTGAAACCTGACTCTGGCAGTTCAGCTGGGCCCAGTGAAGCCCCATGCATGCAGCTTGCCTGGGTCCTCTTGCCTTCCTTTGACTGCTACTACAAGGCTGGGTGTGTGGACCAGAGTAGAAAATAAATCAAGTGGACGCAAATGCATGTTTTAAAAAAAATACCTGCAAAACTTGGGATTCAAACAATTAATCGACTCACAATTAACTGTCGAATAATGTTTTATTACATTAAAATTAGTTCCACTCGATTACTTGATATTGTCTGCTAGACAGACCGGAAAGATACGTCCTCATTGCGACTCTGTTTCAAACTGAGTCAAAAGTAGAGACTTCAAACTATACCAGTTTTTATAGTAAAATCGAGATTATTTATAATAAATAATAAACGCCGCCTTTTTCTTTTTTCTTAAAATGACGTCCAAATTGATGAAAGTTGCAAGCAGAAAACACAGTCCCGTGGAAAAAACACTGCAACCCATCATCAGTTTCATCCTTCTGTCAGGCTGAAAAAATACAAACCCTTCAGCCTTTTTTCTGGCTGAGGCCCACAGTTTTTTGTGAAGCAGCAAAACATCTACAGGACGAAGAAAATAAAACCAAAAAGACGTGAATGTTGAATAAAGTTCGGCAGTGATGAAGAGACAGTGAGTGCAGGAGAAAGAAATTCAATTTATATTTGTAGCGTTATACAGCTCTGTTCATGGTGGATTAAATGTTTCACATATTTTAGAATTTTTTTCTTTCCATTTAGCAACCCAATAGATTTTTGTTGTTATAAATAAGTCCAAGTTTAATAATGTGCGAGAAATGCATATTTTTTTAGTATTTAATACAGCAGGCACAATAAATTGTTAAAATCATAATTACAGGGGTAGACATAACCATTGTTTAGGTTGTCCGAGACAACCTATTTTAATTTCGGACAACCAGATCATGTCTCCTGGTTGTCCGGTGGACAACCAAGAAAAAAAGACCTTGATTAAAGTTCTCTGCCGCAGGTGTCCATCATTTAGTAAAAGTGAAAGGGAGAAAAAACTTGGTAAAACCGAACAGATATATATATCGTATCGTGACCCTTCTGTCATGATATGTATCGTATCGCCAAATTCTTGCCAATACACAGCCCTAGTAATTATGTGCTTCTTTTCAGCATATTATTTTTAAAAAATTGCCCTTCATGTTATGGAAAGACTCTTGATAAAAGAGAAATTCTTAGTCAATCGATAAGATCAATCAATTTTAGATTAATTCATTAAGTGATCATTTGCATCCCTAAACAACACTCTTCTTTCATCATATGTTGTACAGACTGTCAGTAAATTAAATGGATTTTTTTTGCCATTTTGCAGGTATACGGATGTAGGGGTTGATGTGTATGTTTCATATAAAACAAAAGTTTAGGAGTCTTGTATGAATAAGCCTAAAGGCCTGTCACACTAGACAACTTATGCCAACTTATGAACATTTTAAAGACGTTGAAGATGGAATTGAAAAAAAAATCAACAGGAAGCTTCTTTTCGGCATGTACATAATGTATTTCTAACAAATTGATCAAATATATAACTTTTATTAGCAATTTAGACATAAAAATATTTCATAAGTTGGCATAGGTCGTCTAGTGTGACAAGGCCTTTAGTTTGATTGAATCAAAACAGGGTTTGAAAAAAAAGAGCAACAAAGGAACTGTGATCCATAGATTTTAATATTTTACAATCAAACCAAATCAGCAAAATTCTAAAGAGTTTAGCAGAAGATGTAAAACTAAAACCTAAACATCAATTTTCAGTTTCAGTTTTAAACTATAAAATCTGCACCAAGGTCAAATAAAAGCTGGACTTAGATCCAAATCTATTGTGAACCATTTTAAATTCTGTTAAAATAAATCTATTCAAACAAAACACAGAAAGTGTGTCAACCACCTCCTAGGTGGAGGGAGTTTATACCATCAGTGTAGCCAAGTCAGCTGTTAAATACTGTACGTGTCCCAAGTTCACAGCCAGCTATGATCTAAAACGATCCTCTGCCAGCAATCAGACACTTCACACACAGAGGGAGAAGACAAACAAGACTTTGGAAATGTCTTGGAGCAAGGACAGCATGTGAAACCTCCAAGATCAAAGGTCAGTTTTAATAATCCACAGGTCACTGTGTCCAGGTCAGTTACCTAATCACGTCTGAATGACATGTCAGCCAGTCCATGTGTCTGCAGTCATGTGACTCTGAAAAACAACACCCATGTGGAAAAAAAAAAAAAACCTGACTCAGCCAGGTTTCATTCTTCACCAGTATCTGCTCAGTTACAGGTGAGCAGGCAGCTGTGGTGTGTTGTAATAGCATTTTTTTTTCTTTTGAAAGACTTAAAAACAAACTGGTTAGATGGAAACCCAGAGGAGAACAACGAGTCATAACCACGCGGCAGATTTCACAGCCGGGATGTGCATTCCTGCCCCGACAAAGGAATCCTCCAAACACAATGAACGCCATCCACAGGGGCCCTGTGCTTGTGTTGGGCTTGGGGGAAAAAAAGACCAGTGGCTAAACGAACAAGCTCCTCGAATACTAGATCTGCTAAAACTTTACGAACTTGTATTTTATTACGGACCCCACAATAAGTGACATAATCCAGATATAGTGACCTAATCATTTCTAATAATAACCAGGACGAATGACCACATTGGTACAATTTTTTTAATTAAATCTAGTGCTTTATGTCCTCCTTTAAATTTAGGTTTGAGATAAATCAACAGCATCGTGCCTGCTATGGCAACAAATGCCAAAGTGTTATTGTGCATTTATAATGTAGGCGTGTAACTTCCAGTTGGATCTAAAGTGAGTCAGCCATCAACCTTTACAGCAAAAGTGTTGGGTAAATACAAACGATTTGGGGCGCCACAGGTTGTAAAATTAAGCACTTAAGAGTTTTCATGTAAATACGTTTGTTTAGGAGATTGTCAAAAAAATTGAAGTTGTACTTTTTAAAGAGGAACAACAGATCTGTGAAAAACGCATCTCTACCCTCGGGGGAGGAAGTAGGTCAGAAAGCAAGTCGAATAGCTCATGAGACACAAGGAAACGGACTAGACGTGCCAGGACTAGGGCCATCTGTATTTCAACAGCAAGGTTGCCATGCATTACAGATTATGAGTAAATCAGAACATACAAACAGCCTGTTCATCCCAGGGCTGTTGATTTAAATGCACAAAGAAAAAGATTGAATTAGTTCGCGAGCTGATGAGCTTATCTCTTCAGAGTACAGGGAAGAACAGCAACTGTGATTATCTAATCAAATTATATAAAAAAAGGAAGGTAGGAATGATAGTTCTGATGGAAACAGTTTAGGTAGGCTTTTAGAGATTTGAATGTAGCAAAGAGAACAAAAACATTAAGCTTTTAGATTGTTCCAAGTTGTCTGTTTGAGAAAAAATATAAACATGAAAATGTTAAAACATACAACTAAGCACTTGTGTTGAGATTGTTTTTTATTTGTTAGGGTAAAATGATTTGACAAGAAGTAACCATTGGATAAAATGAGATTTTCTCTTTTTAAATTTTAATATTTGAATTTGTGACCAACCGAATATCCAAACTCCTTGCTCTATGATCATTATGGGTAAAAATATCAGCTCATCAATGCATTGCTAAATGTTTTTTTTAACAATTTGATATTTAGAGCATCTTAAAACCCACTTGTTTTCTCTGGCTTTTGACACTGTGTAAGGGGGTTGTGTTGTCCATTTTTACTAGAATTCATTTTTTGAAGAACTTTTCTTGATTTTGTTGTAGATTTTAGGCAATTTACTGTGTTTACTTCCTGTTTTTCCCTCTGTGTCTTTTGATTCAATTGAATGAAAAGTGTTTTCCAAATAAAGTTGGATTGGACTGAGTTTGAACAAGTATTAAGTGTGTACTGCTTTACTTTCTGATATCTTATTTCTCAAAAATGATCATGTATACCATTTCTGTTTATAGAGGCAAGAAAATAAATATCTAAAAATGATCTACTCTAATAAACCTTTGCATACTTCTAATTATGAAATTGATATTGAATTTAAAGCAATATTTAATCGTGATGTTAACAATACCCAACCCTAGTTTTGTTCATGTTGCCATCTTGTAGTCGTGTTCCTGTTTTCCTACTAGGGTTGGGCGATATTGGCAAAAAAATTAATCACGATTAATTGTGGAATTTAGCCGATAACGATTAATTTGACGATTAATGCCCTGGAGTCCCTGGACACCCTCATGTCCTAGTCACATGACTAATTTAGTTGGAAAGATTTGCTCTTCATAAAAAAATCTGTTCCAAACTGTCAAAATTACAGATAGGCTATACATTCGGGCTATACATCAAATTTTAAATTGTGTTGCTAGATAAATAAATTTCAGAATTTATTATTTTTTTTATGTTCGTTGTATTTGAAGTGGAGAGGAGCACCGAGTGGACTGACCGGGGAAATATCCAGTCAGTCTGCCTGGTGACATTAATCGTATCAATTGTCAAGTGCCAAAAAATAATCGATAATTTTTTTCTGACGATTAATTGCACACGATACGATTATGCCCAACCCTATTTCCTACTGTAAAAAAACAACAAAATATTTAAAACTAATATTTTATTTAAAGTGCACTTAACATAACATTAATACATACAGGGTAGTCTTATCTTAAAAGGACTAAAAGTTGAATGTTTAGTGTTTGAATATGAAGTTGCAAAGCATGATTGAAAGTGACCTTTGTGTGATTTATCTGGTTTATAAAACAGCCATGTCTTCAGCAGGATGTCTATTTAATTGCATGTCTATGAACTGGCTACAGTTGTGATTATAATGATGAGCACAAAGGAGATGATTGAGTTAATGAGCCATCTGATGAGCTGCTCTTAATGCTAAACAGCCTTTTGTTTCATATCTATAATGGTATCATGTACACACTGTAAATACATGTAACAATAACTTGTTTTTGTTTAAATAAACCATAGAAAAAAAGGGCTTTGTGAGCACAAGCTACAAACAAACTTCTGATTGAGCAGAGTTGATTTAAAGTTGAACAAAGAGCTGTTTATCCCAGCAGCGTCAAATCAAAAAACTACCACCAATCCTAGTTAACGCCAACAACTTTTTTATCCACGTCTTTAAAATCGGTAACATGAAGGCTGACGTTAACTTCTGGGCTGACCTTTTTGAGTTGAACACAGGCTTAATAAACCCGCTAAAGAACAATAGATCCACAGCTAGCTAACATTAGCCACTCACCTTAAAATAACCACCCTCATAGTGAGTGTTCGGGGGTCCGAAAATCGCTACTTCCCAGTTGTACAAGTCCGACTCGTCCACCAAAGTTATCTTGAAGCCTTCGACTGGCTCGTCCTGTAGGCTTTTCATCTCCAGCATTAGCGCTTTCTGTGAACTGGCTGCTACATTTTGAGGATGCTGAGCCATATTCCCACAACGACTAGTATTAAATATATCGGCAACCCACAACTGTGTGACTGCGAAAGACAAACAAAAGCTGCGTTGATTTAAAAAAAAAAGAAGAAGCTAACCGAGTAAAAATCAAATAAAAATAAAATAAAAAGAAAGAAGCCCCTCGCACTCAGGAACGCGGTAGTTTCCGTTGGTGAGTCAACAAAACAGGATCTAAAACCGAGACGACTGGGCTTTTTTCTGCTCACAGCTGGTGTGCCTTCTTCCTCTCGTTGTGAAGAGGTTCCCGGAGAGCTCGGTACATTCTGAACCTGCTCCAAAAACGACTCACATGCGTTGTGTACACTGTTTCCGGTTGCATATTTCAAAATAAAACCAAGATGAAAAAATTCATCGTTTCAAAATTACACATTTGCTTTTCGGATTTTTTTTTTAATTTTTTTTGCCTTTGAGGTTTTAATCTACTAGTTTTCCCTTTGATTTCTAGCGGTTTTGTTTAAGTAAGATTGTCATTTGACTTTGCACGGTTTGGATTTGCGTTCATCTGAAGAATGCATTTTTATACAAATACTCGTTTGGTTCCCAGTGGAACTTGTGTTTATCTGTGTAATTCTTTCACTCTTTTAAATAGGAGCAACTGACTTAGTAAAGCAACAGAATACGACACACCTGCGATTTTAAACCCATTGTGATGACTGGAAACTTTTTTTCCTCCCTTTTGCCTACACAGCCCATTTTCAGACACTGTTTCAAAGTAAAATACAGGTGTCGCGTTGAAGGTTTTACTTTGAAAGTCTAAACCGGAATGGTGATTTCCTGTTAGCGATGACAACAAAAAAATATAAACAAACCGGAGGTTTCTGCCTCCCAGTTCAGGTCTGACCACATAAATAATGTCTCGTTATACCAGAAACGGTCAAAATGAAACGTTTCATCATCTGAGATTTTATTTTTCTAGCTGGCTTTTTACTTGCACTCCTAAACGAGACATTACGGGGATGTAAATTATGTGGAGCAGGAGTTAATATTATTTACCATCATTTTATTAACTTAAAAAAGCAGTGTATATATATATAAACTCATTCCAATAGAAATTTTCCGTGTTTTATGAATTATGGAAAATAAAAACACTGAAAGTGGTAAAATGTTGTAGTGTCTGACTTGTTACGAGCAGAGGGTATTATGTGACAAAAGTATATGATTCAGTCAGGACTAACTACTGGTGCCCATGTGTAAATAGAAAACAAAAACAAGAGTAATGAAAGTTTAATTTATGACCTCAGATAAAGTCAAGCTTGAAGTCTGATTTTTGGAGTTCTCCCTTCATAAAACATTGATTTTACGTTTTATTAATCTCAAGAATTTATTAAAATGCTCTTCAAATGGCTGGACAATACAGAGATTTGAGTAGACCTTTTTTCAAACATTTCCAGGGCAGTTTACCCCTGGACCCCCCTTGAACTGCTTCACTCCACAGCTGCTAGTTAACATGAACAGGTCCTCATTGGCATCAGCTGTGAGGTAGACTTCGGGTATTGTTTCAAATCAATTATATAAACTTTTAATTGGACAACCTGGTTTCTGAAGATTAAAAACTAAAATTAACGACAAAACTATTTATGTGAATTGACAGTGAGATTTATAAAACTGCACAAGGCACGCCATCTGAAATCTTACCTAGGGCGCCAAAATGCCGGCTCACAACAATGGCAAAAAAACAAACTCATTTGTAATTTTAAAGTTTAACACAAATCAGTTTAAACATGTTCATGCATTTGTAACTACGACATGGTCTATTAGCTGGCTTCAATTCTTGAATGAAATACATGCAGTTTATGATTTGGAATAGAAAAAAGGACTACAGAAGCTTCTCACAGGCTTTATTTTTACTTTGAGTGGACTTCATTTAAAGGGAACTCTATCATTTATATTGCCCCTTTGACATCATGACAATGTACACTGTAAGCTTGATAAGTGAATATGGAGAAATAAAAGGCATGATCATTAAAATCTGTCATTTTGAGTGTATATCTCAATGTTACAAGCCGAACTTGGTCAAATCTCTCACAAGAACTGAACCAACAGAATTAAGACAGTGGGCTGCTTCAGGTGAACTGCTCTGCTCCAGCGAGTTTTATTTATTTTTTATTTTTTTGTCCGAGCCCCACGCCTTTAGTGTCACGACACCAAGCAGAAGCCCCTTCCATCCCCCTGCGTTTAATAATTTAAAACATTCAGTAATATTTTCTTTTAATGTCTGAACTTAGAATAGATAAAAACACAACACAATCAAAACAGAGAATGATCAGGTAAACATAAAAATAGAAAATGTGTGTGTGTGTGTGGGGGGGGGGGGGTGGAAACGACAGTATGGAATGACAAGTTTCTGAAGATGTCCGAGAAATTAAAGTGTACATTCCTAATCATGCAGTAAATGAATTTATCAATTATGCACAAAATGATCATAAATGAATCTTTGACTCGTTGATGATCAGTCACTTTCAGGAAGGAGGAATGCATAATCATCTGTTTTTTTGAGAAACAACTGATCTTCTCGGTGTTCAAACTCTACAGAATATCTAGTGGAATGACTGACCTGACCTTCTGGTCTAAGACATCATCATTATAATTATCTACAACAGCAAACAAATGTGAAAGGGGCCGTACCCGGAAATATGAACAAACGCTACCAAGTCAGTTTTCATCTTACTACAAAGGATAAAGCTGGACAGGGAACACGAGCTCAAATATGACTGATGCTAACTGAAACATCGAATACCTCTGAGAGGCTCGTAATAGAAGGGCCAGCTCTTTTTTTTATTTTTAATTTCCATGCTCCTCATGACACATTAATGCACAAAAAAGAGGCAAGGCAGTTTCTAAAGGGCAAAGAAACATCAAGGATACATGTCAGCTGAGCGTTCGCCAGCCCTGGTGGAATTACCGAGATGAAAAAAGTGGCACGAGTGCAAATATTTCACGAGAACACGTGAAGACAGAGCAGACGCTCCCCTTCCAGTGGAAGCCGGGTCGACTAATACTGAATCAGAGGAAGCTGGGGTTTGCTGCGATAGTTTTTCTCTAGTTCTTAACAAACTTCAAAAAATAACTTCAAATGGAGGGCACAAAAGAAAATATGCAACATGAGAAGCTTTCGTCACTGGTTGGTAAACCAGGAAACCAAGCATGATAAAACAACAAACCTGTCCTGGTAATGTCATCTTAATGCTGTACATTCTTCATACGTTTGCACTATTTAACTCAAGGATTCTAATCTTATTTGGTTTGTGAAAGAAATGATGTGTTTAAAGTCTTTGGGGCAAATTAGCGCATTTCAGTTAGCGAGTATATACTTGTAGACGTTACGTGGGGCTCTATATGACCTTGAAGAATGCTAATTTTGCTGCATAATCTTCTAGCTTAGCTTCACGAGGAGCATGGGTCTGCTCCGAATCTCAACAACAAGCAAGTAGGACAAAGGTTATTCTATACAAGTTAACTCATTTTGGTCTATTTAGCCTTTTTTTTTGTATTCCATCATCAATGCAGCTGCCCAGTTTTCAGTCTTCTCTAGACACCCGGTCAGTCAACAAGTTAGAGTATGCACTTTTTCAGCCAAAACTGTCTGAAAAAGAGTCGGTCACATTGTTTATTTTCCAGGCCTACACAGATGAAATGTTCAGTGAGCAGAAAAGACAAAAGGCGCAGACAGGCTCAAAAAGAAAAAGAATAGAAAAAGATCAAACTAAAACAAACTACGGACAAAAACGTAAAACTTCAAAAACAGTAAAAATACAATTCACCAATCAACAGCAAATGTCCAGTTTGTCAACGACACACTACAGGACTGTCACAGGCTGAACTGCCAGCAGAGTGGAGTGCAGAAAGGCGATGTCAGAAAGAGCGGAGGAGGTGAGGGCATCCAGAAACAAGCGGCTCAGTGTAGAGTCAGGGTGGAAGGAGGAGGGCCGTTTGAAAACCAGGAAGTAAAAAAAAACAAACAAACAAACAATCATTATGGTGCGCTGCGGAGAAGATGAAGAGTGTGGACATAGAGTCTGTAAAACGACCACTGAGCACGAAGCTGAGGAGAAACAAAGCTGACGTAGGAGAAAGGAAGAGGACTAATAAATAGGGTGAAGCTGGAGGTGCCAACCGCTGTATTTTGTAAAGTGATTATGTTGTGTTTTAGTGACGGAGTGGGGCAGTCGGCGAGAGCTTGTGTAGGGGGGGTGAGCACCCTGGGGCTGTCAGACACAATCAGCACTGAGAAAAGGTCTGCTTGATCTCATCCAGTACGTTCCCAAGCAGCGTTGGCTCGTCACATTTTGCATCAACGGACACCGTTTGACCAGACTGGAAAAGACAAAAAGCTGGAGTTAGAATCTTCACATTTATTTTTAAGCATCATCTCAAGCTGACGACAACAGTTTGGGCACAAGACGACGGCTGCGTCTCAGCGCAGGGGTTGCAGCACACGCAGATCGCAGCCCACCAGAGGCCACGCCCTTCGAAATCCAGGTAGGCTAAATACAATAGCTGCTAAATAAGGCCGTCTAGTTTTTGGGTGACAGAAAGTTTTGCAATACTCTGTTAACATCATGTTTTATAAACACATCCCCGTAAAAATCTAAAACTTAAAAAGCACGAGGAATAACTTCCAAAAATTTGATGTATTATTTTTAAAAAAATTACACGTAAATACACGTTAGTTTAGTTGCAGTATCAGTACTATGGCTTTATAATAATAACAATGCAAAACTTTATTTTAACGTGGCTGCAGTTGCTGTTTAGGCTTTTGATGCATCTGTTCTAATTTTACTCCTACAGCTTTCAATGTTCATATTTATTGTTTTACAATCATCTGCTCAAAATGTGTACTGTGCTTGTACATAAGCCTGTACAATTGGTATGAGTAAAATAAAAAAGCTGTAGTATCAGTATTTGTAATTGCGTGTTACTTAACATTGCAGGATACATTTCATCAGCTGAGTTGCTAAACGAGCTCTTCGATCTGTGACTTTTCAAACTCGGCCGTTGTTTTTTCCCTGTAAAAATTGTTGACGACGCAGTGAAGCCTGGGATATTGTCGGCCGCAAAGGATACTCAGATGCATCCTTCGTTTTAGGGGTTTTAAGGGACGTACCTGCACGATAAGTGCGGACTACGGAGGACGCAGCCCCTGAACTGAGACACAGCAAATACAAGTTTCTGTTTTCTAGCAAAACTGCAATTGAATGTAGCTTTTTTTGAGTAATTGTAATGAAAGTTAGATTTTCTTTCTATGATTTCTTCTTTTTTTTTTAAGAAAACAAAAAAGGCTACAGAAACCTGAATACTAAGATGAGAGTTTGCTTACAGTTTTGACCAGCAGACAGACATGGTGACCCTGAATGGACCTGCTGTACATGGAGGCACAGGAGTCGATCCTCTCCACAACTAATTAAATGAAACAATCAAAAATAAATAAATTAATAAATTAAATTAAATTAAATACAAACATCAGCACAAACAAGTTATTTTTTTTTTACCAATAACCTACTAATCGTGCTCTTTGGCTTTATCATCAGAAACACTAAATATCTTGAACTATGACATGTTCTTGTGTCTGAAAATCAGTTTTTGTTTCAAGACTATTTGAACAGTTAAAAACAAAGAGACGAGCGTACCAGAGAAGTGGTGGTGAAAGCAGATCCTGGCCAGTAGATGGTGGAAGGGCATGTTAACCCCCTCCAGTCTGAGGGAGCTGCTCTTCAGGTCTCCCGACTCCAGAAGCTTTGCAAAAGCATCACTGAAGAGATGAAAGAAGTTAAATTAAAAGTCACATTTAAACAAATAATAAACGATTAAATGATTTCTATGAGATAAATCTCTTGCCAGCAGGAACTGAATTTGAATTGCTCAGAGTGAATCTGAATGTGCATAATTTGAAATTGAATGCATTGGTTTGAAAATTAATTTCACTAAATTGAAAACTGACTTTATTAATTTGAAACTGAATTTTAAAGTTTTGAATTTGAATTAATTTGCTGTGAAACTGTATTTTGGTTTATTAAAAATTCAGTTTGACTACTTTCACTTTCAGTTCCAWAATTCARATWTTTGTGTCACACATCCTGGTCCTTGAGAAAGCCAGCCAGAGCAATCAAACACAGATCCACAGATTTGTGTTTCACTTTGGTGAAGTTTTCCTCCAGTAATGTAACAAGAGTTCATGCAATCCACCATAAAAGTGACAAAAACAGTTACCGGTACTTTTCGCAGTGATTAATTTTACCTATAGAAAATGTTATATTTACATCCCATCATGGATGCAACAGCAGCAGCAAAATCTGATCAATATGTGATCCATGATGTGATGTGAATGTAACATTTTCTCCATATAAGTAAAATTAATCACTGCAATAAAATAATTGTCTGTTTTTGTCACGTTTACGGTGGATTGCATCAACTCTGTTACATTACAGAAGGGAAACTTCACCAAAGTGAAACACAAATCTGTGGATCTGTGTTTGATTACTCTTGCTGGCTTTCTCAAGGACCAGGATGTGTGGCACAAAAATCTGAATTTTGGAACTGAAACTGAATTATGGAGCTGAAAGTGAAAGTAGTCAAACTGAATTTTTAATAAACCAAAATACAGTTTCAAAGGAAATTAATTCAGTTTCAAATCATTAAATTCTGTTTCAATTTAGTAAAATTCATTTTCAAACCAATGCACTCAATTTCAAATTATGCACATTCAGATTCAATCTGAGTAATTCAAATTCAATTCCTGCTGGCACAAGATTTATCCCATAGATTTCTGACTGGAACCATTTTAGAGCAAGACTGAATTATTTTTTGAAGGAAACCTGTCTGGTAACCATGAGTACCTGCCACCTTTTTAATGATGCTATTATGATCTGTTTTAGTCTAAGTGTACGATATTGTAAATACTTAACTCTTGTCCTGAGATAAATACATAATAAATAAAATGAAATAAATGACCATGCTGTTTAGAGGACCAGTTTTCATTTAACAAAATTGTCTTTAGTGTCATTGTTCAGCTCCGAGGTCGCAACTAAAACTACAAAATAGTTAAAGCTCCCCCAAACATGATGAGTCAGAGATCATTTAGGGAGCAAATGAATGACTAACCTGTAACAAGGAGTAGTGATTAGATAGGAGGTGCATGTAAAGTGCAGTTTAAAGTCCAGTTTCTCATGAGTGGAGGAGTCTTCATTCTGTCAAAAGGCAAAAACATCTCTACATTAACACACAAAAACAAATGTTCTCGTTTTTAAAAAAAAGTTGCTTTAAGAACTAAAATATTGTGTTTTATTTTGGGTTCTACAGCGGGGAACAAAAAATTATGTTTTCTGTAATTAAATCATGTTGTTTACTCATGGTGGCTGAGATATTGGCCAGTGTACTTTTTGATCATTAGTTTTTCATTAAAAAAAAAAAACACATATAGAAAAAAAATTATTTTTTTCTGTTTTCATTGTATACTCCAACGACAGAAAAAAGGTCCGTCTTTTCATTTTTTCTCAAATCGGAAGTTTAGTGTAATTGTCAAGGGAACTCAATGCTGCCCTGTGGAACCTGCTGCAGCTTCAGGTTCCTCACCATGGACCTCTTGGAGAAAGGCTTCATGTGCTAAAATAACCAGAAGCTCCAGCAAACAGTTTGAATCATCAGTGATAAACAAACTATCAGCTGACAACTGAAATGTCAATTTAGTTGGCTAACATTTATTTATTTATTTGATTGATTTTATTGGATTTATTTGATTGATTTGATTGGATTTAATTGATATATTTGATTGATTTTATTGGATTTATTTGATTAATTTGATTGATTTTATTGGATTTATTTGATTGATTGATTGATTGATTGATTGATTTATTGATTGACTGACTGACTGATTTGATTGCTTGCTTGCAGCAGTCTGGTTAGCTAGTAATAAAGTAAAACGTGTTTATTCATCGCGTTATCAAACCATTTAAGGTGGAGCCAAATAAATACTTTTTGTAAAGAAATTAGCTAGTCTGGCTTTATTAATAAAAAAATACAGTCTGCAGTTAGCATCGGCGAGGTAACTAGGTAACTTGGTTATGAAATAACAGGACAAAAAGGTTGATAGTTTTCACCTGAAATATTAGACTAAGTTTGTCTGCAGTCATGTCCTCCTCTCTAAGACTGTTTGTCACAAAAAACAACTTATTGCTCCATCTTGCAGTAACTTTACACATAAAGTGGTCGATGGGAAAGTTTCTCTGTCACAAAAAAAAAACACATTTAGTTTGACATTTCTTTAACAGGCTGATAGTTTATATATCACTGATGGTTCAGCCACTTCCTGGAGCATCTGGTGCTTTTAGCACATTAAGACTAACATTGAGTTGCCGTGATGACGGTGTTAAACTTTCAGTTTGAAAAAATAAATAAATAAACAAACACACGGACCATTTTTCCATTTTTGGAGTACAGAATGTTTTTCAGTATCTGTTTCTAAAATGAAAAATGAATGACTAAAAAAATACACAGACCCTTTTGCGATGTAGTTTCTGAAACGTTGCTTGTGTCTTTAAAGCCAGTCTTGTTCAAATGGTCAGCTGACTGTTTAAAATGAAGTGCATTATAAAGCATGCTCCATGGGTTTTAATACCAACCTTGACGATAAAGGTTAAAGTTCCCTTTAGCTTCTGGGGCATTACGATACTTTGCACAGTGAAGACAAACCTTGCCTCGTTAGAAACTCCTGTGGAAAAAAGAGAAATTTAATGTTAGAGAATTCGGCTGGATTTCCCATCTCAGTGTGTTTGTGTTTAAAACATTGGTAATAACCTAAATATTACACCTCTTTTCAATTGTTTGTACATCGTTATGGTAATGAACTATTACAAGATTAAAGATGCGGATCGTCACTGACCAGGAGGAAGCTGGAAGGGGACGACGAGGCCATCGTGTGGACCTGAGCCTTCTGGCCTCTGCAGCTTGGAGTTCAGAGAATCCAAGACGTTGAACTCCATGGATTTCAGGAAGCTGTCACACTTGTTCTCAAATATAACAGAGACAACCACCTGACTGCCATCCTGCAGGTTCCCCTGGATGTCATACACCTTGAAGAACAAAACAAACAAACAAAAAGAAATGGCTGAAAATCATAGTGTCTAATCTCCCTTCTCCATTGAAAAAGTAACACGCCTTCATCAAAGCATTGAAGAAAAGCAGACGGATTACTCAGAAGTTAAAAGACACATCAAGATTTCCTAAAAGCACTTTAAACCCAGAGGCAAAAACCAGAAACAGAATCATTCTTGGAAAAAAAAGGAGACACTGTTGATCTACAGAAGCACTCATGTTGTCTGCCTCAATAAACAGCCTGAAAGGCAACAAGGACAAAGAAAAGCACATCTAATAAAGCGTCTTTAAAATATTCTGTCAGTGACAGAACTTCAACCATTACCTCGTCAGCATCTTCCATCATCTTTAAAGAGAACGAGGGAAAAAACAGAAACCATTAATGTGGTGTTTTAAAACATTTTATTTTGTTGCTACGTAGTCCAGATGGTGCCAGAAATCTTATGGTTCATTCATTGTGATGCGCTGTGTGCACGGGTTCATTTTGGTTTAGAAAGCAAAAGAGCACTTCAAGTCCAGGGATGTTGGGAAATTACGATTCTCATTTTGAGGATTAATATTTTCTAAAAATAACCAATGACAAAATTATCTCCTGTCCAACTACAGAACAGTAAATGACACTTTATAATCTAAATTTACTTACCAGTAAATAAATTGTACTTTGAATTGAATAATTATATGAAGTACTGACATGAAGTTAATACAAGAGTACTATCTTTTACTATGTTTTTAATATTTTTCCACAATAAACTAGTCAATCTTTTAGACCTCTCTCTGTCTGGGGGGAAAAAAAACTTAAATGGCTTTACCTAAAACTGTACTTGTACACAACGCCAGTTTCTTCTTCGTCTTGTGCTTTTACTGAGTCGTATATATTACAAGCTGCTATTGATGTCCTGATTTCAGTAAAACAAAGGGGAATGTCTGATTCTGATGATCGTATTATACATGAATAAGTACAGTACCTATATACGGTTACTTTGGCACTACATATTTTGCTGCTACTTGTCTTTAAATACTGTAGAAACTGTAAATACTGGTCTATAATTCTGTCCACTCTACATTTTGTCAAACGAGATGAGAGGCAGAACACCACTACGGCACTGAGGTACTGCTTCTGATGCAAGTCAAACATCCTCCCTGCAAATTTAGAACAGAGGGACTTAAATGTGAAAGCAGAGCTAGCCTAGTGGGCTAACAAAAATTAAATCAAATATAGGGATAGAAGTAAAAAGACAAAAAGCTTTTAGAGAGGAATGTATTATTTGGGATCAAAAAATGAATGAATGAATTTTTCCTATTGTTGATGTTTTTTCTAAGGAACATTAGTAAAGTTACAATAGCGTTTGAAAAAATTCTGACAAAACAAAAATTAAAGGACTTTTATACTTTGTCAGAAAAAAGTTGTGTATTGACCGCATTAAAAAAATGGCTAAAAATAAATGTATAGGTCTTCAGAGGATTAAAAAAAGCAGACTCCAGGTCATGGATACCAGGAGCATGATTTATATAGAGGGGGTCTTTGTCAACTTCCTTAATTTTTAGTTGATCTCTGAAAATGTGCAAGATTAAATTCCATTATATCAGAATCATAAACTGTGAAATTCTATATTTTGTACACTTACAATCAAGGAAAAACTAACAGCTGGTTTATCCTAAATCTCTGCAGTTTCCAGAATATGACATGTTTTTCTGTTCTTATATTCTCTTTATTTACTGTAGATGCAGAGACAAAAACAGCCCTACAACAGGGAAAGAAGTAGAAACATGGTTCGGTAAGCAAATCCACATTCAGCCAATTATTTATTGATATGTATGTCCATATCAACAAGACAAGAAAACATTATTAAATAAACATAACATAAACATTATTAAATCTGGTTTAATTCTCAACACAACCTGACTGTGCTTCACTACTTTAAATTTTGTTGTTTAAAACTGTCTTGTTGGAGAAACAAAAAAAGAGAAAAGAGAATGTGGAATAAACAGCAAAACAGCCCAAATGAGGACAATAAATAAATAAATCAATCAAACTAAAAGGCTGTTGTGCAGAAGAATTCCACCATCACTCACCATCTTAATGTAGGTGTTCTCAGCCAGCAGGCAGTAATTGGACATGGGCTGAAAGGAGAGAAGAGCTCAGGTCAGATCTGGAACTCTCTGTCACTCAGTGTGATAACCAGGCAACAGCAGCTTGTTCCAAGTACATGATGCAAAACAAGTGTGTGTGTGTGTGTGTGTGTGTGTGTGTGTGTGTGTGTGTGTGTGTGTGTGTGTGTGTGTGTGTGAGGGGAGCTGCAAAAAAAAACAAGATGACCTACATTTCACAGCAAGAGGCTCCAGCAGGAAAGCTTTAAAACAAAAAAAAAGTGTGTGTGTGTGTGTGTGTGTGTGTGTGTGTGTGTGTGTGTGTGTGTGTGTGTGTGTGTGTGTGTGTGTGT